CTTTAAAATCCCACTGTTTTTAATTTTCAATGATTGCTCTCCGCCCGCAGCTAAAGAAGGCTTCGGTGACGTCAGCAGAAACGATTTTTCAGATATAGGATGGCTCCCACTGGAACCGTAGAGGGCTTTTTCTCCCTCCTCCAACACTCTCCCCAAAACCTGTAAACAGGTTGAGAGGAAAGCTGCCGTTGTTGCTTTGACACTATTGAGAATTTAGCCTCTGTTCCCCCTCAGCGGCAAGGCCTGCTGATACGACTATGGGTTTTATAGGATCTCATCGTGCCTGAGATCAGAAATCACCCAGAGTCTATTGAGAATCAATTTATTGGTGCTGCTAAGCAGCTGAGGAGGAATTTGATGAGTACAGTTTTATTTCCCCATCCACACGGGGTAAATCCATGATGCAGACGACTCCGATAAGTAACCGTTGCGATAGGAGGGAAGTGAGCTCTGCCAGGCAACAGTCCGGTTATTTATCTCCCCCTCCCAGTCTGACAGGTCACTGCGCACTGTCGTTTCCCAGTGGCCCTCAGACCTATTTAGAAGCAGTCAGACTGCTGCGAACGCTGCTTTCATTTGAAAGATGGGCCTACTGATGAGTAATGATATGGAGATAACTCTGTGCCGAAAGCTAAGAGAAGCGCCTTTACTTCTGCAAGGGTAATATCTGTAATACTGCTGATGATGTAACTGTAAATTCCTTATAAGCAGGTTTAATCGTCTCCTTTGTCGGGTTATGGCATCAATCAACAGAGTGGTGAAAAAGTATCACTGATCATTATTTCCTATGTGAATTTAGGTCTGGCCTTTCATCAAATGAAGTATCACCTCATTATGATGCCGCCTCCACCATGCTTTGCAGTGTTGGCTCTCTGTCCCATTGAGCCGTTTGCATGAATGCAAAAAAGTTCATTTTTTTTCCTGACCTGATGACCTTCAGCCTCATTAACACTGTCCTCATCTTGACTCCTGCCTTAATTAGAGCTTTCCCTGACTTTCTGAAACTCCAGCAAATAATTTTCCAGCTGACAGGTTCTCCCAGGTCCTGAGCTGTGGATCTCTGCAGCTCTTCTGGAGTTACCATGGGGCTCTTGGCAGGTTAAGAGTATTCTTGGTAAAATGTTCACAGTTTGTGAGCTGCAGAGCAAACGGACTTAAAACATTCTTTCCTGTTTCATTTGTTGGTGTAAAAAAAAAAAAGCCTGTTGTGTCCTTATTTTCCTCAAAGCAAACAAATAACCTTCAAAGTCAAGTTCTTGGCAGCTCCGTCTGATAACTTTCAAGGCTGCCACTGCTGATCACAGTCATCTGTGTCTGGCGTGACTAAAATATGAAAGGTCATAAGACTCTGTCTGGATTTATCGGGACTGTTTCGCTCTCTCCCTGGCTTAATGGAGCGAGATGCAGAGGACAGCCGTTTCCACAAGAGTCCCTGTAGATAACCAGGATGTCTGCATGCCTGGAATGTCCTTGAAGCTCTGCCTTCCCACAGAAACATAGAGACACCCTTTGGATGCTTGGATGTGGGACGGTTCACTGTCGATGACAGGACACCCAGGAAGGTGTTTTTTCTTATCAGAATTCGGCTCAGATAATCCAGAGAATATTTAGCATGCTTTGGGTTGAACCGTCGACAGGCCAGGTACAATCAAACTTTACTTTCAGTGTTTTTCATAATAATTGAAAATAAATCAAATTATCTTCATTTTGATCAAAAAACAAAAGAAGTAGAATTTCAATTTAGTTTATTTATATAGCGCCAATTCAGAACACGTCATCTCAAGGCACTTTAAATTAATTTGATTGTATGATCTAGTGAACTGTAAAGTTTTCTATCTAAGGAAAACCAGTTGATTGCATCGACTCATTGACTCTAAGGCAATCCCTCACACTAATCATGCTTGTAGCGACAGTGGAGAGGAAAAACTCCCTTTTAACAGTAATAAACCTCCAGCAGAACCAGGCTCAGTGTGAGCGGCCATCTGCCGAGGCCGACTGGGGTTCAAGGAGAGAGAAGCAGAGATACAAAAAGCAGCTGTAAAATGCGGCCCTGTTCAGGAAACTCACAGCCAGGCAGGCGAGCTCCGAGCCAGCTCCCATGTCAGAGGATGAAGAGAGCACATAGTAGCGACGGCCCTTTTTTAAGTTTAAATGAAGACAGAAAATGTCTGGATTGACTGTTCTGCTTCCAAGCACTCAGAAATTGATCCAGCAAATTTTATTTTTTTCCTTCTTACCATAAGTTTTTTTTCTTTGTAAGGGAGGAAACTGTTTGCTACTCTCCACCTGGAAATTTCTAAATTTGTTTTCTTTTTCAAGAGTTGCGCATATTAGATTTATATGTCTGATTTGGAGTCTTAGATTTTTGCACAAAATCAGAATATGCGTCTGTAGATCCTCTCCTAATCGGGTGGAAACCTGTTTCAGTGCGCTCATGTTAAATTTTTGTCACTTCGAATGTGAAACCGACCTAAAAAAGGAAAACTATCTGTGATTGGCTACTTTTTAGGAAATCCCGCCTCTAGAGGCATAAGAGACATAATGTCAAACAGCCGTCTCTGTCATCAGCTGACAATTTCATAAGCACAACGTTTGAAACATGGAAAAAATGCTTAACAGCAGCTTTAAACTGATTAACAATGTAAAAAATTAAATGAGTTTATTCAGGCCTCAGGCTAATAAAAAAGCAACAGAGCTTAGAGAAGGAGTAGATCTCATGGTTTTGGCTTATTGGGGGCTCATGGTGTTACAATTTTATGCATATAACTTCCAAAAAACACGTGGATTGTAGTTTACATCCATGCTAGTTTGAATGTATATTATGCTGGTGCATTTTTGAATTCTGACTTAATAAGTTTGCTTTCTTTTTTATCATGGACTTTTTATGATATAGTTAAACAAGAGCAGAATAGCTGACACACGATATCTATATGTGTGTGTTAGAGAGAAACACACTAGACTATATGTTGATTTTAAAAAAAAATGAATTGCTTAAAGAATTGACATTGTAAGCCATCACTTGCATCTCATATTAACAATTAGCATGGCTAGTTTTTAAACAATAGTCTCCCCGTGTATTTCTTGAAAGCGTAAAACGATAAAAAGAGATTTTGCTGAGATCCATCCGTCTTACTGTTGTTTGCTGAAAGTCTTGCTCTCTCTCACTCTCACAGGAAACTGTCCTCCTTCAGTTCTCCCTGATATCTCTCCACCTCCTTGATACTAACAACAGTTTTCAGTGGCTCTCTGTCTGTGATGACGTCCACACTGAAGAGTGTTCTTGTTAATTATGACCTGATACCAATCCTCCCGCCCCTCAGTCTGTCAAGCTAAAGTTTCTATATCAGCCATTTTTTTGGCCTGATAACGTCCAAGTTGAACTTTTTTTTTTTTTCTGGAATGGATTTCAATGTCTTAAGGAGGTTTTTCTTTATTCTGTTTGAAACATGATCTCTATGGGCTTCCATAGTCACTTAAACATAGACTAAGTGATGTGTTTCGGCAGCTATTCAACATCCAACGCTTTAACGACTGTGACAGGGTGGGGCTGAGGGGCCTGACACCCTGCCTGCTGCCGGTTTTCTTCACCCCCCCACATCCCAGCTCCTCGTTATCCTTTGCCTTCTCAGCAATCTGATCATCTGTGCACTTTACGCCCCGGTTGCCTCTCGCTCTGCCGCTCTGTCTCTCTTCCACTCTCGTGTCTCCATCCCTGGCTGGCTGCTGTGACCAGACATCAAGGTCAAATCTCTCCCTCCCTTCCTCACTCTATTTTCTTTTCCCTTCCTCCCTACATTTCCTGTCCTATGGAGCTGCTCTCCAATTTCTGTCTCTTTTCGTCTAGGCAGTTTTCCTATTTTTGTTTCTTATCCAGTTGTATGAATTTAGGAGTGTGTAACCCAGACGCTGCTCAATCAAATGAGTCACTTTTGGTCTTTTATCTTCCTTGCCTTTCGGTTCAATAAAGATCTTAAAGCCTTGTGAGTCCCACAGCCCTGTCGTAGGAAATGCCATATTGTTTTGATCGCTTTAAGAAAAAGAAGACATAAAAAATACTAAAAGATATGGTGCATGTATCACATGATTCCTTAAGGTGACGCTTGCTGGAATATATTCCTGCTCATATGATGGTGTCATTTTGAGCTCCTGCAGGTCCTCATGTCTGCTGTGTTGACATATTTTTCCTTGAGGGGTTTATATTTGCATTTGGGGCTGGAAGTATTGATGGAGGGGAGGTAAAGGTGAATAGAGTAGCTGCCAGTCGTCCATAAATGTCACTTCAGAGGAAAAAGTTTGCACACTGATGGGTCGTGTTTCCTCCGCTTCCCACAGTCAGGATTACCAACATGGGATTTTCCAGTCCATCGGTTTTAAGGAGTTCCACAACTACCTGACGTCTCCGGAAAGCAGCAGCCAGCAGGAGAAGGACCAGCTCAGAGAGAAAGGTCAGAGAAGCGTCGGTGCAGACGGTAGACTCACTGGTTGGTGGTCTTTGGTTTTTAACTAATATTTTCCTCTTTTGGACTATTTAAAGGTATAGAAGCTTTGAAAGTCGCCACCAAACGTTACGCCCGCAAACAGAATAAATGGGTCCGGAACCGCTTCCTGAAGCGTGAGTATCTGACCCCCCCGCTCATAGAATAGACTGTGTCCAAAGTTTCAGGCATCTTATTAAACACCAAAGGATTTTGTGAGAGGCTGCATTTTTTCTAGCATGTAAAAATTTTGTCTAATTGTCTGAATTTCACTTTTTCAAATAAAAAAGTTTGTAAAAGCAGTATAAGAACTTGAATACTTTTATGCACTTTCATTAACTGTAAAGAATTTTATTGAAAAAGGGAAATAAAACAGTTTATTTTAGCTATAAACTTGTCAAATGATGGCTGTCAGTATGAGCTGACAGGACTGGCAGGACTCTGGTAAGGCAGCAGAGATCCACAGCCAGCTGTTCAAACCAGAAAATCCCAACAGAACAAGCTCCTCATTTGTGAAAGAATGCTTTTCCACGAATCAGGGACTGACCTGCAGGCAGTCATCAAGCGTTTCTGCTTGAGTAACTTTTCATTTTTTTTGTAATGTTGGTTTGACACCAAACACATTTTAAATAGTCATCCAACGCCTCAAATTGGGCGCTGGTGCGTTTTGAAGTCAGACGCTCTGCAGTTGTTGAGCTGCTTAGTTCTTTCCTTTAAAATCGATAGCGCAGCTTGGCTTTATTTGCTGTGATGGGTTGGATTGGGGAAAAAAAGTTATTTTAACATGTCAAGTAGGGATGCACGATATAATCGGCCCCCTATCGGTATCGGCCTGTATCGGCCTTAAAACTGAATATCGGACATCGGCCACCCCACCGATATTTAACCCGATATTTGATCAGCTTCTGAGTTTCTAAAGTCTAAATAAAAAATAAAAAATACTTCTTCTTCTTCCTCAAAAACTTATTTTTTACAGACTTAAAAACTTCTAAAGACGAGGGAAAAAATATTGATACATTAAAATATCACAATATCTTCATTTGCTGATATATTGGGATTTAAAAACACCATATCAATCTCTTTTACTAATGAAATATTGCTATATGTCATCGTTATGCTACGAAATCCCCCGAAAATTCACGAAATGTTGCCATATTTTATATGTTGATATATTGACGCGGTATCGATCTATTTTACTAACAAAATCTCACAAGAATTTGCAAAATATCACAAGAGTTTGTTTTTAAAAATCCATTTGATATCAGCATATGAAAATATATTTGAGTATATTATTTTTCAAAGTGTCGGAAATGAATAACAAAATTGCTATTTTCAATGACTACTTATTTTTGTCCAGCTTTAACATCGGTATCGATATCGGTTATCGGCTACATGAGTTTTAAAATATCGGCATATCGGATATCGGCCAAAATCCCAATATCGTGCATCCCTAATGTCAAGTGGATAAGTCCACCCAAATGTCATCCTTTCATCAGGATTATGATCCTATTTAAACATAATGCTCTTGTTTTTTTTTCCCATTCTTACTGAATGTCAAATATTGGTTAGTTTTTAGAGGCTTGCAGCTCTCACTGACGTCTGTTCTTTTTTCTGTTCCCTTTTCTTAATACATAAGGTATTGAGTTCTCTCAGGATGGAAGAACCATTTCACTCAATATAACCAGAAGTGTTTCTTAACAGGATAACCAGCTATAGCTTTAATGAAGGTATTTATAAACTGTTTCACCACAGTTCAGTGTAAAAATATTTTAGCAGAGTAATAGGGACCAGAGTTCCCCTTTTTTACTTGTAAATAAAAAATAATAATTAAAATTTTTAAAACCTGTGGAGTTTAATCCCTGTATATATATATATTAATTTTTCATAGTTTAATGTTGACAGGATTAGCTTTTCCGATGCGTTGTTACTCTGCGCCCAGCTGCAAAAATTTGGATTTTCCAAATCGAGTTTCGGCTACTTTAGAGTTGCTTAAATAAAACACACAGTACGAAATAGAGAGAGAGTTTCAAAACATGCAGCATAAGACGCATGGAGCATCGACGCGCAGGTGCCTTTGACTTTGCCTGTAAACCAGATGCTCTCAACACTCAAAAACGCATTCAGTCTGAACACCAGGAATGATTATAATAATAATGATTATATGATTATAAATGAACCATCTAACCTGCTAATTTTGCTAACGCTAAAACTATATCAATGCACATACACTCAAATCAAGTCCTGGTATATGTACCCTTGTAAGAAAAGAAATGGGTTTTAAAACAGTCCAAATGAGCTCTATTAAAAAAGTTTCTCCTTAAAATGGTTAAACATGAATTCAAAGAAAACTTCAGATACAAATAAAGAACCAGGAGAATATTCCTTTAAACATTCATGGCAGGGCAGCAAGAAGAAAGCTGTTAGCAGTAATGCAACAATTGAGCTTTCATTTATCCTTCTGTGTGCGACAGGAACAGGACACAACACACATGGTAGGGGAAGCATCATGCTGTGGGATGGTTTGATGGTTTGTAGAAGATAGTTCAGGCAGACTTATCATTTTTCTCTGTTAAAATAAAAACCAATGTTGGTCTAACATTAAAAGGTGTTAAACACATAATTTGAAGAATGACACTCTGGCATATGATTGTTTAGATGGATATAAAAACTAGAAAGCAGGACTGAGAGGTTTACCAGGAAGACAACACATGTAGCTAAATGATTACAACCAGCTTGGTTTCTTAGTTTGTTTTCTCCCCATTTCCTGCTTTTGTGAACATCAGAACTAATTAACTGATTCATTTTAATAGTGGAAACAGGTAGATTTAACTTATCAAGCTGCAGAGTAGGATTTGACTTCATGCAGCGTGTTGGAGCTGCTGTGGCGTCCTCCCCACACTCCCCTCTCTGTTCTTTTAAAGGGGCGGCAGCAAGCCGCAGTGTTTGGGTAGCGTCCAGATTAGCCGTCGCAGCATGATGGACACATGCCCACCTTAGCTGGCAGGTTTTCCCTCTGGTCGCAGCCAGTTTCACCTCTGAAAGTGCTTTCAAATATCCTGAAGGTGGCTGTGTCCCACCAGCAGCCCGCCCTTTAGTAACCCTGCCTCCTAATCCTGTTAGCCCCAAGTGGCTTAAAGGCCACAGCCAGGACCTAAACCTCAACACCCCCTCTTGCTGAGCGCCGGCCCGCCTACGCTGCACCACCATATGGCCTTAGATGAGCGTGTCCGCCTGGCTGCGTTACTGCTGTTTTACACACTTTAATCCGTCTGAAGTCGTCTGAGTTTTTCACGAGTTTTCAGTTGTTTCCTAAGAATCATGTTGATCCTGCCCTGTACAAAAGGACGAGGAATCCACCTGTTTGGTTCCTCCAAGCATGCATTTATTCATGTTTCTTATGAGGTAAATTAGGCAGCATGATGCTGTGGGAAAGCTCTGATTATTACTTTTAATTTTAACATTTTTGTTACTTTTTTCAACAGAGCTCAATCTCTAAATGTTGTCTGGTAAAAATAATTGATTTTAAATTAGATCCATATTTACTACTGCGACCAAATAAAGCTGATATTCAGCTTGTAGTTAAATAAACTTAATGCAATCCTGAAAGCTCATCCTTAAAACGACTCTGAGGATAGTAAAAATGAAATATTGCAGAACGTCTCTTGTTTCGTTGGTATTTTATAAGTTTGTGTGTAAATTTAGATGAATAGAAAGCAAAACAGGAGTTATGATTTGAGATCAAAGAGAAACAACAGGAGGATTGGTTTTGCAAAAATCTGCTGCTGAGGCTGTTGGTTTGTGAGAAAATCTGTTGGCGATTTAAGCCGTCTTTGACTGTTGGAGGAGAAGAACGTCTTTTCTCTCCCCATTTTACAACTTTAACTGGGGTTGAATTTAATGCTTCCTAACTCTGGATCCTTTTGGGAGAAGAACAGATTAGAGAAAAATGTTCTCTCAATCTATCCATGCATCCGTCACTGGATCAGTGAAATGCTGCATTGAAGCTCAGGAAGGAATCAAACATGGCCTGAGAAGGTAGAGTCTGAAAATTAGTCTGTTATTTAGAGAAAATGTTCTCACATCAGGGGCACCTAGAGTGCGTTCATATCGATGCCTTCACCCGTTTCCAGTGAAAACACCTTTTTTTCCTTCTTCCCTGTTAGCAGTGACTGTTGACCTCCTTTCTGATTCGTCTGAGCCTTAAACACTCTCGCACAGATGCAGGCTAGCCTCAGCTGAGCACACTAATCCCTGGAAGAATTACAACGCTGTCTGGAATTCACCCCCGACCGCCTGAACTTGAGCAACAAGGGTTGCACTCATACAGCGACCAGTGGGTGGAAGAAACTGTAAATTGAATGAATATTCAATTCACATGTACAGTGAGGAAAAAAAGTATTTCAACACCTTGCTATTTTGCAAGTTCTCCCACTTAGAAACCATGGAGGGGTCTGAAATTGTCATTGTAGGTGCATGTCCACTATGAGAGACATAATCTAAAGAAAAATAATCCAGAAATCACATTGTAGGATTTTTAACTATTTATTTGATGTTAATATTTAGTACGATAGTCTTTGTTTGCAATTACAGAGGTCCAATGTTTCCTCAGTAGGTTTGCACACATTGCAGGAGGGATTTTGGCCCATTCCTCCACACAGATCTTCTAGATCAGTCAGGTTTCTGGGATGTCAGTGAGAAAGAGAGTTGGGGCTCCCTTCAAAGATTTTCTATGGGGTTTAGGTCTGGAGACTGGCTAGGCCATGCCAGAACCTTGATATGCTTCTTCCAGAGGCATTCCTTGTTTATCCTGGCTGTGTGCTTTGGGTCATTGTCATGTTGGAAGACCAAGCCTTCACCTATCTTTAATGCTCTAACTGAGGGAAAGAGGTTGTTCCCCAAAATCTGACGTTCCATGGTCATCCTCTCCTTAAAACAGTGCAGTCGCCATGTCCCGTGTGCAGAAAACGCATCAAAAGCATGATGCTGCCACCCCCGTGCTTCACAGTAGGGATGGTGTTCTCGGGATGGTACTCATCATTCTTCTCTCTCCAAACAAAGTTAGTGGAATTCTGAACAAAAAGTTCTATTTTGGTCTCATCTGACCACATGACTTTCTCCCATGTCTCCTCTGGATTGT